AAGGGTGGATGTACAGATACAGACATTAGTGTAGTGGATGTACAGATACAGATATCAGTGAAGGTTGGATGTACAGATACAGACATCAGTGAAGGGTGGATGTACAGATACAGACATCAGTGAAGGTTGGATGTACAGATACAGACATCAGTGAAGGGTAAATGTACAGATGCAGACATTAGTGAAGGGTGGATGTACAGATACAGACATTAGTGAAGGGTAAATGTACAGATACAGACATCAGTGAAGGTTGGATGTACAGATACAGACATCAGTGAAGGGTAAATGTATATTTACATCTAACCTGTTGCAGAATGTATGAAACTTCTGTCTGAAACCATGCCATGCACTGAACTTATTAGGTCACCAGGGGACGCTCTGTTGATTTTAAACAAATGCATGTTCAGCCGAAGCAGAACATATTCAAGTCATAAGTTCAGATATTCGTTTCTTGGCTACGACTCAGCGAAGGTGATCTCATATGATAGTACATTACGTGAGTGACAACTGACGTAATAAACACAGAATGTTCATCGTTATGAATAAAACATTAGGCATATTTGTTATATCAAATAAAGATAACCTATTTAAATTCAAAACAAAATTTCAGATGACTTATTCTCTTAGTTTTGGGTAGTTTATCATTCTTGAAACTATTTCTAGTTTCTCATTTAAGACAAAACTATTAAATTTAGTTTCATCCTTTCTTGGCATTTATCGATCATCTTAATATATTCGTTATCCATTTCTTCTTAATACAATCGCGCTCGGGCCAAAATCTTCGTTCGTCATACTCCAATAACGAACACGAACTTTAAGATTAATTAGTTACCTTATAAATGAAACGTTTCAGTAATGTGTACCTAATTTAGGATTAGCTATTTATTTTATAAATTAAACGTTTCAGTAATGTGTACGTTATTTAGGATTAGCTATTTATTTTATAAATTAAACGTTTCAGTAATGTGTACCTAATTTAGGATTAGCTATTTATTTTATAAATTAAACGTTTCAGTAATGTGTACGTTATTTAGGATTAGCTATTTATTTTATAAATTTAACGTTTCAATAAGGTTAATTATTTGCCCAGTAAATGAAACGTTTATAGGGTCGAGAACGTCACGTGACACCAAAAGTAGGGCTAGTTGTGTAGTTACTTATTTAAAATATATATATATTTATTTTGCTGTAGTTTTACTCAAGTGATAACCACATTCATATTTTCGTTTGTAACATACTATAAATATATATATTACAGTATTTACTTTAATATTATTTCTCTGTTTAAATCAAGAAATATGTCGTTTACAAGTGTTCTGTATCTTTTAGTTTTAGATAAAGAAATATTCATTTTACGACTGTTTTTTATTATTATTCAGATCAAGAAATATTTGTTTTATAAGTATTATTCATTTTTTACATCAGGAAGTACATATTTTACAAGTACTTTGTATTGTTTAGATCAGCAAGTATTTATTTTACAAGTACTTTTATTGTTTAGGTCAGAAAGTATATATTTTACAAGTAATTTTTATTGTTTAAATCAATAATTATATATTTTACAATTACTTTGTATTGTTTAGATCAGCAAGTATTTATTTTACAAGTACTTTTATTGTTTAGGTCAGGAAGTACATATTTTACAAGTACATGGTATTGTTTAGGTCAGGAAGTATATATTTTACAAGTACTTTTATTGTTTAGGTCAGGAAGTATATATTTTACAAGTACTTTTATTGTTTAGGTCAGAAAGTATATATTTTACAAGTACTTTGTATTATTTAGATCAGGAAGTACATATTTTACAAGTACTTTGTATTTTTTAAAACAGGAAGTACATATTTTACAAATACTTTGTATTGTTTAGATCAGGAAGTACATATTTTACAAGTACTTTGTATTGTTTAGATCAGGAAGTACATATTTTACAAGTACGTTTTATTGTTTAGATCAGCAAGTATTTATTTTACAAGTACTTTATATTGCTTAGACCAGGAAGTATTATTTATTTTACAAGTACTTTGTATTTTTTAAAACAGGAAGTACATATTTTACAAGTACTTTGTATTTTTTAGATCAGGAAGTTCATATTTTACAAGTACTTTGTATTGCTTAGATCAGGAATTATATAGTTTACAATTACTTTGTATTGCTTAGAGCCGGAAGTATTATATATTTTACAAGTACTTTGTATTGCTTAGAGCCGGAAGTATTATTTATTTTACAAGTACTTTGTATTTTTTAAAACAGGAAGTACATATTTTACAAGTACTTTGTATTTTTTAAAACAGGAAGTACATATTTTACAAGTACTTTGTATTGCTTAGATCAGGAATTATATATTTTACAATTACTTTGTATTGCTTAGAGCCGGAAGTATTATATATTTTACAAGTACTTTGTATTTTTTAAAACAGGAAGTACATATTTTACAAGTACTTTGTATTTTTTAGATCAGGAAGTTCATATTTTACAAGTACTTTGTATTGTTTAGATCAGCAAGTATTTATTTTACAAGTACCTTGTATTGCTTAGAGCCGGAAGTATTATTTATTTTATAAATTTTTCATTGTTTAGATCAAGAAATATTTCGTTTACAAGTGTTTCCGAGAAAGAGTTTTAAAATCGAAGCTGTAGACAACAGTCTTAGTGACATCAAGTACTTCAAGTTTCAGGAGTTAGATCAACAATCTGTGGCCATTAAAGTTGCGAAATCCTTAGATGAACTTGTCGATAGAGTAAGTTGTTTAATTCTACTGTTGATCCTATGTAGGAACCATATTGATTTAATAACTTTTTTACTGGGGAGTTCCCCCTTGCATAGATAAAATTGCATTAATTTAAAAATCCTCTAAGTCTATGGCTGGTGGAGAAAAGCTTAAATATATTTCAACTTTTGTCACTTCCCTAATGGCGGTTCATCTTTGTTTAATGCCTCGTATGGTTATAAAAATCTTATCACACATATTCTTTTGTTTTTTGTTCAACTTGGAGCATGATGGTGGGTAAAACAAAATACGCGGCCAAGCTAATTAATGAATGAATATTTGTTGTACAATTCTTATCATTGTTTAATGTGTAGCTACCAGTTTAGTCGCCAATTTTGATGTCAATTCTTTAAGTCGCACACTCAATCCTTTTTTTTTGGCCACGCCGTTTTTTTACATCTAAAGTGTTTTTGATTAAATATCATGACGTTTTGTCAATATACGCCAACAAACCACAACAAGTAAGAAAGTGACACTCGATAGTAACCAACATTAGCTATAGGATCACAACCCTGTTATTCGGAACAGACCTTTACTTTACAGAACCGATCAGATTCTTTAAAATACATGGTATTAGTTTTTCTCTCTAAAATAGTGTTAATAACTTCCTTTATAGTAACGCCATGGAATCCAGAGTAACAGTTTCTTGTCATCACCCGTATGCACTCGGTACGGCCCGGTATGGCCAGGTGGCTAGGGGGCTCGACTCACAATCTGAGGGTCCCTGGTTCGAATTCCCGTGACACCAAACATACTCACTCTTTCAGCAGTGGGGGGTTATAATGTGACGGTCAATCCCACTATTCGTTGGTAAAATAGTAGCCCAAGAGTTGGCGGCGGATGGTGATGAGCGCCTTCCCTCTAGTCTTACACTGCTAAATTAAGGACGGCCAGCGCAGATAACCCTCGTGTAGCTTTGCGCGAAATTCAAAACAAACAAACAATACACTCGGTACAGCCGTATCAAGCATCATTATTTACGCTAATTGCTTAAGCTAAAATCGGGTGACGCTAAACGCTCATTAATTAGTAAATGTCATAAAATTTTGCAAATTTGTGCTTAAATGTTCCTAATGAATAATAACCGTCCACCAGTATGATTCTTTAGGAAACTTGAACTAGAAACTGTTTATCTAGTTTTCTTGACCTAACCAATACTTACGTATCTGCACGTGCACTCACTCTATAGTTTTGCTGAAAAAGTCATCCGTCTTCAATCCGAATGACTAAAAACCAAAAACGGTCCACTTTCACTGTTGGGTGAAGTTGCAGTAAAAATTTTAGATCGATGGGTCACATGAGTTTTTGCGTAGGCATGCGCAGAAATTTGGGTCCAATCCGAGTGTTTTTTTTGTTGAATAACTTTGTACATGTGGCGTATATTTAGACCGAATTTGACACCTAATTGTAGGTTGTAAAGATTTACCAGTGCACCAAAATCT